GACTCACAAGATAGGCAGACTTGTCCTATTAACAGTAGGGTAATTTCTTGGGAAAGGTGCACTTATTTGCTATTGTGTAAAAATAAATTTATAGACTCTTGCATTCCTTCTAAATGTGACATGTACAAGATGGGTTTGTTTCAGAGCCTCAGGGACTATATTCTGGGGTCTTTGACAGTCTCAGGGGAGCAATACCATCACCAGGAAAACCAAGAAAGAACATGTTGCTAAGCAACAGGAACAGGCACGCTAGTCTACATTTATTTCATTTGTTAAAGGACAAATTGCCTAAGTAGCTCAATTTAGAGGGCATGCGTTCTTCTCCAGATGCAGTGCTGTGTAGGTGTGTAAAGTGATCAGCTTGCACACAGGAACCAGAAGCCAGAAACGTATCTACCAAGTTTGTGCCGGAAAAGGACATATGAAACTGTGGCTTCAGCATTTGAAGTTGGTTTTGAAAATTCAGAACTGATAGTCTTTAATAAAGGCCACCCAGTATTTTTGTTTCTATTTTAATCTTCCTTTAAAATGCCCATTTTTCATCATTTAAAGATAGGGACAAGGCTATGCATGCTGGATAGGCCCGATTTCTTGAAGTACCACTATTGTGTCTTCCTGCTCCTAAATCATATGTTACCATGATGATAAAAGCTGCCAGATTGAGGATATTGAATTTCAGATTGTACTGCACCTTGAAATCCTGAGTAAATTCCCAAATTGGATAAGAGCATTAAAATACATTAGTTATAATATTGGCAAAATTGTCCTGCAGGATGCTCTTTACCATGTCCTCCATTGTCAAAAAATAAGTGACTACAAAACAACTTACTGTACTGACTCCCATACAGTTCATTCCCAAATAAGACAAGCATCTGGTTCTGGAAAGGCAGGATGAAGAAAAAAATGTTTTTCCAGACTCTCACGTACCATGGCACAGGCTTGTCATGGCTGAATGCTAGGCATGAAGGGAGGGCAGCTTTTGCGGTGTCTGTGAGAGGGTTAAACCCTGGCTGTGGAGCTGCAGTGAGAGGCTAAGTGACACTGAGTGAACCTGGTCCTTCCTCCATGCAGCCCAGAGCCCACGTCGCCCACCAGCAGCCACTGCAGCCTTCCCATGCTGCCTCCCTTCTGGCATGACAATCAGTTTCTTTCCTTAAGACACACCCCAGTTTGGAGGGCTAATGTCTGGGGAATGCGTATGCATTGCATTACCATATTTAGTCCCATTAAAAAGAGCACATGGAGTTCTCAGCCTTAACCAAAAGGTACAGCTTGTTTTCCAAAACCCACAATAAATTCATTTGCAAGTAAATGCAATAATAAAATATTTATTAAGCATACCTGAATATAGTGTAGGGAGGAATCTTGTGTCATTTTAAAAAGTTTGGATTCCATATGGGAACTTTGGGAAATATTTGGAATTGATTTATGTGTATAGCCTGCATTTTTTTTATCGCTCTCTCCTCTAGTTCTTATTATTTGCATAAATTGTGATCAATATTCCTTAAGGATGCTAGGCAGACAAGGTTCCTTGGGTGAATTTGATATCTTTTATTAGACCAACCCAAATGGTTGGAGAATAGTTATTAAGCAAGCTTTCGGGTTCAAAAACCCTTCGTCAGGCTAAGGAAGCTGCAGCAGTTGGTGTGTGCTCTTCTGCTATACACTCCAGTTCAGAGCCCCAACCATAAGGTTTTTGCAATACCATTCAATCACTGAGAGTTACTAGCTTCTAAGAAATGATACTTCATCTCCACTTTGGTCACCTGTAGTAGCACATGGCTCCTCCAGGCAGGTGGTGCATGGTGGCACTCCATCCCTGCCTGCCTACACATACCTCCTAGGGCCTTCTCAAGTACCGCTGCAGGCACGTGTACCCCTGGTTGACAACCCCTGCCCCAGGTGATCCCAGTCCCCACACAGCTCAGCTGGAGCAGGCAGGAGCAGCTCTGAAGTTTCCCTTGCCCCAGGACAGGGAGGAAAGCAGCTGTGGCAGGCAGGAGACAGAGGAAGGGGAAGGAGGGGACATGCCTCTGAGCATGGAGGTGAAGTGGGGATGCTGTTCCACTTTAGGGAATTTTTTAAAGTTCCCAGAGGCTGCAGCAGCACGGCCCAGTCTGAAAGAGGTGGGGGGGAGGTGCAGCCTCACCACTGCATCCCCTCTGGATCTGTCCCTGTGTACCACATAGACATACCCTGGTGTGATTGACCAGAAAGGGAGGATAAAACAAGAAACAGAGATGCAGCTACTGTTTACCTAAAAGTTCCTGGAATTGTTGATTTGTGCGTGCAGTTCAATGAATATTTAGAAAGCAACATTGGAGGGACTAGAAGGGAAGACTGAGGGGAGAGAGAAATCTCGCTACTGAAGCCTCTCTTTTATGGCCTCAATAAAATATTTGTAAGAATCTAAGGGAAGGAGGAAGAGTGTTCGGAACATTATGTTTTAACGTCCTCACTGTTCTCTAATTTTAGTGATCAACTTTAAATATAGAAACCAACTTTTGCTTTACAAACTCTTGTAAAAAAAAATCCTTTTATAATGCAGATATAAACCCACAGCTTCACCTAAAAGCTTAGTCTATATTATATTATGCAATAACAGTCACTCCTGCCAGAATACTTTGCTCTTATATGGAGCCGCACCTCCAGAAAGTTAGCTACCTGATTGGCTACTGTATATAGGCAGCCTGATAAGTTAGCAGGCTTGACCAACAGCCTAAGTTAATAACAATCTGCTATGCCAGCAACAAAGACAGAGAAATTTAATGTGAGTCGTCATCCTTTAAACAGTAATTCTCCTTTGAAACTTCAGAGATGAAAATTGATATTCATAGTCACATTCTACCTAAGGAATGGCCTGATCTGAAACAGGTAACAATACCTTAGACACTTGATCTAGCACTCCTTACTACTGGAGTTTCTGATTCATCAATGTTTTTAATTTATCAGTGATCTGTTAATTTTTCTATTATAAGGATGATATGAGACCCTCATTCATCTCTATTTACTAAAGCAAAACTCCTGCAAAGTAAAAAGTAAGGACTGTGCTCAATTTTGTGCCCTTAATATTAGTTTAAAGTAGTATGTGTGTATGCTCACATGTGTGTAGGTGCATGTATATTCAAAAGTATCCACATTAGCATAAATTTTGAAGCTCAATAAAACAAGACTTTTTACCTAGTGTGTTGGTTGCTAAGTTAAGTAGATGAGCTGTATGCAAATTTCTGTAATTTCTCTAATAAAATTGCCTGCAAAATCTGATTTTTTAGATAACAGTTAAGGTTGTAAAACAGGTGAACTATCATTTGTGTATACATGATAAGTCAGTTAACATACTTAGGAGGAGATGTTGATAGGCACAAAGGACCCTTAAGTCCATAACTACAATCTTAAAAAAATATGTGAAATGAATTATTAATACTGGATTAGACTGAAATAATTTTGGATCTGCATCCACTGAAGTGCAAAATCAGTAGACTTTTTTGCCAGAAATATTTAATGCATTGCTAAGATGTAACAGATTGCATCCTAAGTAAGTAGCTCAAATTAATGCATTCATACCAGAACAAGGGTAAACAACATGTTATTGTTGTTTTCCTAATATTTGAATGTTTTTGTGATGGTCTAAATCTTCTCTATCATGATATCACAAAGTTAAAGCAGTGATTCCCAAGGGGTGTTGCTCAGCACACTGTGAGGAGGTGAATGCCCTCTTCCTCCATCTGGCAGCCTGCACCTGCCCCAGCTGTTCCAGAGGTGCCTGCAGCTGCTCCCCTGGGAACTGCTGTCATTTCTGCTGCCTTCCCCCACCCTCCCCCTCCCTCAAGGAGCCCCTGTGCCAGCCCTCCAGTCACTGTTCTGCAAGAAGGTGGGTGGGTGGAAGCAGACAGAGCCATGCTTTGCAGCCTGGCTCATCACCTCCATTCCCCCCATGCTCTCTGGACTGGCAGGAGTGGTGGTTATCTTGCAATAAAACAGACTTTGATCAGCTCCACAGATCACCAAAGCACCCCAGGGGAAAACCAGGAGCAATGGTCGTAAACTCCTAGAAGAAAGTTTCAGATTGGATATAAGGAAAAACTTCTTCACAGTTCATGTGACCAGATGCTGGAATACACTCCCAGCGGGGGTGGTGCAGGCACCTACCCTGGAGATCTTCAACAGGAGACTGGCCGCACACCTTCCTGGGGTTATTTGACCCCAGCAATCTTTCCTGCCCAGAGCTGGTGGCTGGTCCCAATGATCTCATAAGCTCCTTTCCAGCCCTAAACTTCTGTGAATCTGAGAACAATTTAGATGTGGCTGATTTTTAAAGCTCACATAATATTGCCAAGGTATCAGATTACTTAAGAGTGGGGACAAGAACTGACTTTGTTATTTTTTTATGCTGGATGTTCTGAGCCCCTTGCTGCAACTCTGTCCTGGTGGCCCTTAGGGTGAAAGGCTCCTAGGCTCTGTCTGTCACTTCCACGGAATAAGTCGATCTTGTTGTGGCTATCCATGTTTGAAAAGACTTGTGATTTCAACCTTACAAGTGGGCATCAGATACACACACACTGAGGTTCTCTATACAAGTGGTGCTCAACTGCTGGCCCATGGAGGCACATCATCCAGACTGCACGGTTCCCCACAGGTCCCTCAATTTGGCAATAGAGAAGCAGCAGCAATTACTGCTATGAGTGCTCCCTTGCCATCAGATTTCCAAGCCCCGTGGGCCAGATGATATAGTTATTTTTGCTGGATTGGGATGGTGCATGGGGCCAGGCCAGCAGACTTGATCTGATGCACATGGGGCCGGAGCTGGCTTGCATGGTGCAGTGGCCCGCTCCAGCACATGGAGCTGGGGCCATATGCTAGATCAAGCCCACTCACCAATCCTTTGTTGGTGAGGCTTATGAAATGATCTCACATACCAGATCTGGCCCACAGACTGATCCTGCACCGGTCATCCTGTCCACAACCCAGAAAGGTTGGGCACCACTACTTTACACTCTGCAGACAGTGAGACTTGGTGGCATCTTTGAGATGAACTAATTCAGAGAGGCATGAGCTTTCCTAGGCTGTAAGCTAGCATGTGACATTAAAGCATCAGATTAAGTAGGTTGTTGCCCAGAAAGCTCATGCCTCTCTTAACCAGTTTGTCTCTAAGGCTAAGTACAGGCATTCAAAAAAAAAAAACCCCTGGAAGAAGTGCTTTACTCAAGGGAGCTCACAGCCTAACCGCACTGGCCACTGGCCGTGCTTTCACACGCCTCCCAGGAGGCTACCAGAGTAGCCCCTCTCATTAGCTCTGTCCCCTGCCTCCCCCCTAGCTGGCGAATGTCAGTAGTGACTAAGGAGAAAGCAGTGAGGGAACAGAGCCCCCCATTGTGAGGGATCGCCCCCCCAACTTTCTGGGGTCTGGGTCTGTGTTAGGGGCTATTTGCCTCCCCACCCCAGCTTCGTGACAGCTGAGCTGCAGCACAGCGCAGTCTTGTAGGGCTGGAACTACTGCAGGGGAAGGGCCCTGGGGTCTGTGCCACCGCCCTTTGCACTGTGCATATTTCTTTCTTCAATATGTTGAGGTTTCCTTTTGTTCCTGATGATAGAGAATTCTTAGGTATGTCTGTGCACTTGTCAGGTCTGTGTCCCTGTGACTATTAAACACACACTAACAGAGGGTGAAGATTAGTCAGAGAGAGACAGGAAAATGTAAATTATATATCAACAATTAGTAGCAGTGAAATCTAGAGTTGAAAACACACAGCTGATGGTAAGCAAGAACAATAATCCAAACAGAAATTCTTGAAAAGGAGTGCTTGTTTTCTTTTCATGTAGGAAGTGCTTTTAAACATATTTGACCCTCTTATTTACAATTGTAAGAGTTCACCTATGACTTTATAAGCAGACACCAACTAACGTGGGCCAGATGGCAGAGTGTTTTTAGAATTATTTCTATGAGGAGTCTAATTCTGAATAGATTGAACTTTTATAATATCCAGTCTGCGTAGAAATTGTTCTTTTTGGTTTGTCAAAATTAAAGACCAAATTTTGCTGTACTTGAGTTAAATTATTGTTGATTTTATTGAGGTTTTCTTAATTAAGAGTAGCAGAATTTAGTCCTATAAATGTTAAAGGCTCCTTGGGTCAAATGCATCATGGATATATTTGGCATCATCAGTCCATGATCTCATCGGTACATTAGAACTGCATTCAGATTAGAGACAACCCCAAATGATAAAATGTTGAGTTCCACCTACCCTTAAGTACTACTGCCAATTTTTGTGGTTTTATAGTCGCATTTTCATAGTTTTAAAGGTTGAGATTTTCAAAAGAATATTAGTAGTTTCTAAATTCCCTGGACACCTTTGAAAAATCCAGCCATGTTATATTTCTCTCTCTTGTTGCTGTGTGGAAGACCTATACAGAAAGAAATGGAAATAGAAAGACTATCCAGAGGAATGAGTGAAAATCACTATAAACCAAATACTGTCAAAGGTACAAAGGAAGCAAACTGAAAATTTTCCTGTGATCTCTTTTCTTATATGGAAATCTAAGGATCAAGGGACACATCTACACATACACATTTACTGTGCAATAACCAAAACTACTGTGCAGTACGAGCACGTCTATATGTGCACGCCATTACTGCACAGTAAATATGGCAACTTACCCCAATTTGGAGTGTAAACTTGATACCTGCATCATGCAGAATTCAAATTTACACCTGATTAGTTACTGCACAGTAATGTACATGTAGATACCTTACTGCACAGTAACACTGTGTGTGTGTGTGTGTGTGTGTGTGTGTGAACTGATTTAGGACTAACTTTAGTCCACACACAGGGTTAATGTGCGTTAATGGCTGCACATGTAGATGCCAGCCTATTCCCACTTACTGCACAGTAACTTACTGCACAGTAAATTTAAGCTGGTGTAAATACACATCTAGACGTGGCCAGAGATAACAATAGATACTATATTTCTGAAAGAAAGTGTAATTTTTCAGTTCCGATAGTGTTTCTTCAGTTCTGTCTCCCTCTCTTACACACACACACACACACACACACACACACATACATATCAGATGCTGACCTCCTGCAGAAACACCTTGAGAGGCTGGATACCTTCAAGTCAGGCGACCCTGATGGTTTACACCCAAGGGTACTCAAGGAGCTGGCAAGCATCATAGCTCAGCCTCTGGCACAGATCTTCGAGAACTCCTGGTGCTCTGGTGAAGTGCCCGAACATTGGAAGAAGGCCATTGTGGTGCCTATCTTCAAGAAAGGAAGGAAAGTGGATCCGGCAAACTACAGGGCCATCAGCCTGACCTCTATCTTACAGGAAGGTCTTGGAAAAGATTATCAAAGAGGCCATCCTTAACAGACTGGCTGACGCCGACATCCTGAGGGATAGCCAGCATGGGTTTGTTGTGGGTTGGTCTTGCTTGACCAATCTCATTTCCTTTTATGACCAGGTGACCTATCACCTGGACAAGGGAGAAGAGATTGATATCATATATCTTGACTTTAAAAAAGGGATCTGGTATCCCATGATCACCTCTTAGCAAAACTGGCTAACTGTGGCCTCAGCCTCACCTCTATCCGCTGGCTGGGGAATTGGCTCCGTGGTAGGACCCAGGGGGTGGTAGTTGATGGAAGTCAATCTTTGTGGTGCCCTGTGACCAGTGGGGTCCCCCAAGGCTCTGTCCTAGGACCAATACTATTTAACATCTTCATTAATGATGTAGACATTGGTGTCAGAAGCAGACTGGCCAAGATCGCTGACGACACCAAACTCTGGGGTAAAGCATCCACACCTGAGGACAGGAGGGTGATCCAGGCAGACCTTGACAGGCTCAGGAAATGGGCGGGTGATAACCTGATGGTGTT